TGAGTAGGCAAGAGGGACGCACTCAAATTAAACATATTTTCTCAGTTTTGCGGTTCAAGATTAAAAAGATAACATCTTGCTCATTCGTTTTTACCATTTGACCGACCAGAAAGAAACTCTTTTATTATGAGTCTGTTTAATGTCTTATTTGTGGTTAAATTCGGTGGAAATAAAAATTTGGTTCCCTTCTTGCTAAGCTTGCTAGGGTCAAACAACCATGAGGCAAAACAACACAGTTGAAAAACTGAACTCGGGAATTTGCTGGTTTGCTAGTCATAACAGCCATGCTCACCCCATTCCCGGGAAAACTTTAGTCAAAATGATAGTCAATGGGCAAATTAGGAATTTGTATCATGAGGCTGTTGCCTGGTTCTCGAATATAAGTCTAATTTCAAATTGTATTCAGCTTCACTTATCAAAAGGATTTCAAACGGTTAATATCAAATTTAGTTAACATTAAATTAATATTATTTAATTAATATTAAATTTAGTTTTAAGGCCTTCCAGAAAGGACTATGAGTATTGTTTAAGAATACCTCGGCCAAGTGATCCTTCACAAGGGCCGCCTCCTCCAGAGGGGGTTCCGCCATTAACCTAATACGTTTATGTTGTCCAGTGATGAACTTGAGAATAGCCAAGCTTTTTCATGATTATACTTCAGAACAGTTGTCTCATATAACAATGTGTAACTAACTTTATTTTGCTCTGAATCAATAATTACAGCATGTTCAAAGCATACCCGGAACATAGTTGAAAATTAACATAAACCAAGTCCCATGAGTCCCTGCGCACTTCTCCTCTCCTTACCATTTTATTTCGCTCTGCGGAAAGCATGGCTGCAAAAGATAGTGGTGTGGATAATCCGACCCTTAGCCAAACCATCAACGGACAATCTTCAAGCAGTACAGTTCAGCAAGGTGCACCCAAAGGTAAAGATCTTGTTTCTGAACTTTTTAAGGATCCGGATGCATTACATTTGCTCCGCAATGCACTTTTTGCACAAGCCCTGAATGAAACGGATTCTGGAGTGCTCAAGGCTTATCATACGGCTCCAGATTTAGAAACCCCGGCGACTAAAAGGCCAAAAAGGGGAAATGAAGACTCTCACGAGGTCATTCATGTTGATGCAAACCCTGAGCAAGCAATCCAGGGCGATGAAAGTTTGGATGCAAGTAATGATGATGAACAAGACATCAATTCTACGTCTCGTTGCCAAGTCAGTGAACAACTTGCCTCACTCTTAGGAACTTTACACAAACCACTATCCGCATTTGAA